AGCAAGCTCTACAGTTCATTTGTAAAGACACCTCCCTCTCATTCCTTTCAACTCCTTCAGGGAATTTCCATGAATTTAATTTATTTCCCAGTTAACAGTCTATTAATTACAGATTCTGGTACCAAGGGAAACTGAAAAAAATCAACCAACCCTCAGGAAAAAGCCTTCCTTCCTTCTTACACTTCTTCCCCCACCAGATCTTTTGCTCCTCAGTTCCCTGAGCCCAGGCCATGCTCAGCTCCTTTGCTGAGGCAGTGGCCAGCACAGGCAGGAGCCACACATGTTCCTTCRCTGGCAGCAGMTTCTCCAGCTCCTTCTCCAGCTCCTTCTCCAGCTCCTGTTCTAGCAACACCTTGGATCCAACCCCTGCCCAGGAATCCTCTTCTCTCTTCCCTGCTCCTGCTCCACTGTGGACTTTTCCCCTCCTTCTCCTCCTGCCCTGGCCATGTTTCTCCTTCTGCTTAGTGTTTGCATCCCTCACTTTAAGACRCTTTCCCAGAGGTGCCACAGATTCCCTTGAGGGTGGGCCCAACCATGCCTTAAATTGGATCTGTTGGATCCTGCTGGCGACCAGCTCAGGGCAGGCCTGGTCTCTCCTCCCCTGCAGAGGCCACCCCTGCAGCCCCTCTACCAAAACCTTGGCATTTATGAGGGGACAAATCATGATGAAGCAGATGTAGTAGCTCTGGAATACACCCTTGGAGGTAATCCAAACTCAGCTGGGCAAAGCTTTGGTCATCAGGCCTAGCACCCAAGGCAGCCTTTCTCTGAGCAAGGCCCAGGTGAGACGAGTGTCCAAGGATCCTTCCAACCCAAGTTATTCCATGATTCCACAAAACTGTTGGGATCACTTCCAGGCTCAGTAAATGTTTGGAAGACACAAGAATACAGAGAGCAAGCAGAAAATGTTTGTGTCTGCATTACYGAGGATAGCTTTACACTTCATAATAAATAAATATTGCCACAGAGTTTGTGAGCAGAGACAACAGGCAGCCATGGCCAGAGCAAGAGAYGAGCCCTGTTCCAAGTAGAGGGAARTGGAGGCTGAGGGGGCAAAGTGAAAAAGAGTTTTCAAACAAAAAAAGGCTGTGAAGCAGGGAATCTCACCAGCSAGGCACATGGTGTTTCTTAATTTCAAACACTGTTTCTTCTTTCAAACGCAAAAAACTGCATTTGCTCTCCCTACCCTGGTGTCTCTTCAGYTAGGAGCTGACTCAGCCCTGGAGCCATTGTGACACTCAGGCCACAACTAAAGTCTTATCTGTGTTTGTGAGCCTGCCTGGGCTGGGCCTGAGAGAGACCTGGCTGAATTATTCTTCAGTCTTCTTGCTTCTGGCAGGGTACAAATGCCCAGAGACAGACGGTGGAAGAGAGAAGGTTCTGGCACCTCAGTTTGAGGGTGGGGTTGAGCCCAGGCCACCTTCTCTCCTGAGAAATGGTCTGACCATGAGTGCTGTGCAGCAGGGATGCAACTCATCTGAATGGGATCTGCTTGCTCTTTTGCTTTTCAATTGGTTTCTTATAGCTACTCTTGACTGGTTTCTGTGGACTAAAAGTGGACAGTGTCAGGCACATTCTGACACCACTTGGAGATGAGGTTATTGGGAATATAAGAAATTAATTGATTGTCTGACTGGTTCCCCACAGATCTTGAAAAGAGGCAACTACAACCTGCTTAAATGTGGGACACCAGCTATCCCTCTCAGCTCTCCTCTTAGGAATGTCAAATATCCATCAGCTTGTCTGACCATCCAAATAAAATGTCCCACCAATGGAGTTCCCTATCTTTCTTCACTTGTACCATCAGCCAGCGGATTTCTTCCACATGGTGATGAACAGTAATCAAAGCACTTTGTCTTTTTTTTTTGTGCTTGCTTCAATAGTGGCATTCTCATCAAGGTGAGATTGAGTCCAATAGGGATAGGCTGTAGATCTTATGTATAACTAAATCATAACAATAGATTATAGCATAATTAAATCATAACAGTAGATAAGATATATCAGGAGTTGAATACTAAAATCACTTCCCATAATTTCAACGAAGTTACGCACACATAATCACATAAGGGTGATTGCTTGAATCTACCATAAGGTTGTCTACAAGTACAAAGCCACAACAGGTTCTCGTACAGGCACATCCATTCCCTCAGGCCCATACTCTGTGCTCCAGGAAATGGGCTGCAGATCCATTGTGATTTAATTCTGGCACMATGATTGGGTGTATAATATATACCACAGCACTGTGCATTGTTAAAACAAAAACTGTGRCTTTATTGTTGGTGGRGACATAAGTGAAATTAACTAATTAACACCAAGAGTAAAACTCCCTTTTAAATCTACTTGCATTATCTCAGGTTACCTTTTGAATTTCAGGGGGCAAATTGCTTTCATCTCCTTTATAATTCCTGTCACAWTAAATTGCATGCACAACAGAGAAGCATGTGTGGTGCAGAAGATAGTAGAGTTGCCATATGGATTAGCATAAATAAAGCAGTGAGGGTCTCCACCTTGTGGGTCAAGCTTGTTGAAGGGTGAACCAAATTTAGCWCATGCTGGCAATGATTGCTGCTGCAAGAAGGATAAACTGTCCTTCAATGGTTAGCTTGATCTTCAGCAGACGTGCATGGCATCATACCCAGTGTCATTCCTAGGAAGAGAGAACAATACAAGTCCTGGAGGGGTTAGTCCAGACAGGGGCTCAAGTTGTTTAACAACTTGAGTGATAAAAGTCCTATTTTCCTGCTCAGGATATCTCTGTTCCTGCTCTTCAAATGCAGTTGAGTTGAATAGTAAAGATCTCTTTAGTCTGACTGGGACAGTCTGGCCTTGACATTCCTCAGATTTCAGTTCATTAAGTGCTTTTCATACTGCTGTTGCTGCTTCCTCCACCTTTTTGGGGGACAGCTCCTGCAATTAGAGTTTCCCTCCATGAGTGGGATGCTTTCTGACTTTGACTTACCAGTTTCGCAAAATGTAGCACAGTAGCGGTTAAAGGCACGGAATATCAAAACCCAGAATGTTTTCAATATAAGTTTTAGTTGCAAAGTGAGCTGCTGACATCTGCTTCTCAATGCCTCCCCTCTTTTATTTTTGCCGATTGCGCTCCGCAAACATTTCATCCACTTGCAGCTCACTGTCCCTTTCCCGACCCRAGCTGCGAGCAGCCCTTGTGCCTGCAGCCTCTTGGAGAGCTCCAAGCAACCTCTCTCCCTTTTCCTGACAGCACTCAGCAGCGAGAAGCCTGCAGCCTGTTCTTTCTTTCACCGTTGTGCTCGGCAGAAACACTGGTTACTGAAACCCATTTCTTCTCTTAACTGATCCTGCACCCCTTTCACTAAATCTTGCAGAGATACAGTCATTTCTCCTGCCTCGTGTTTGTTGGTGTATCTCTCCTTTTGGGCAAAAATTGCACATAAAACTGCTTTACTTTTCCCCTTTCATACCTTTTGTTCACTTGACACTGCATTTATCCATTTGACCACTGYCTCAGGGCTATACCAATTTCCATTTGCACATTCTGTTCCCCGGGGGAGCTGAGCAYGCCTTATATTCTTCCCATCACTACYTGTCTGGAATTCACAGSTKATGTCCCAAATGGACCCCTTTAACCATAGTATCCTGTCTGTCATACCAAACAGTTAATCACTGGAATCTCACTTTAAAACTTCCAAATTAGCAAATTCAACATAACAATAGAGAGATTGTGCCTTCATCCAAAAAATACCAGAAAGCTTGACTTGCTGGAAGTCCTATGATCAGTTCCTGGCCCTGCCCCAAGTAGCATATTTTATCCTTATTTGAATTTAATATAAAGTCAATTAGRAGACTAGGGAACAAGGACAAGAATTCAGATTCTGAGGGAAGATTGGCATGCACTACCTGCTTGAATACCAGTCTAAACTGAGAGTTGGTGGAGCCATCTTTCCATGCCATAGGCCAGATCCCCAAGCCTCAGAGTTAACCTAAAGGCACTGGCCTGTGCCCAGTGGGTACCCTGCCCAGGCAGCTACAGCCACCAGGCCAGTTCCTAGATTTCAACAAGTGAGGAGCTACAGGAAATAGCTTGTAAGTGCCTCTCTGACATACCTGTCTCAGAACACCTATGCATGGAAAAGGGAATCACCAAGATCTGATCTGATCTATGGTGGTGAGCACAGCAGGAGATACATAACCCTGTTCACAGCCTGGCTGACTGCCTGTTTTATACTCAGGGACCAAGCCTGTCTTCTCTAGATGTCAGAGAAGAAATACCTARAACTTTTCTTTGCAAGTATTGGCAGAAGAGGGAGTTGCTTCTTTCAAAGGCAAGAAGAAGTGCCTGCTTGTGACATTGTTTGGACACATCACACCGGTGATATTCTTATGACTTGCCAATTGCAATCACTATCCTTTTGCTTCAAAGTCTTTTATTTCTTCCACTGTCACTTTTCTGTTTTATAAAACTGTGCACTGAGAGACCAAGCACTGCAMGATGTACATCATCGACTGTGTGTTGCTCTCAGATGGAAGAATAATGCACAGTAGTCCAGTGACGACTGCAGCAGTTTCGGGGGAAACACTAAAAAAGCCGATGACGTCTAGAGGATGAAATGTAGGCGCGGGGCCGTGCCGGCCAGCGATAAGGTCTGCACGGAGCCAGAGCCGGGCTCCAGGTAGCGGCTCAGAGCGGCGGGCGTTGCCACAGCAGCGACGCCACGGCCGGGCCGGACCCGAGGGGCCAGAACTGGGGTGGGGTGGGGGGAGACGGAGAGCAGGGAGGCACGAACCCAGGGCGGGGCGCGGCGGGGGGAGCCTGGTCTGCCCACCCGGCTCCCCTTGCCAGTGCCGAGGAGGCGGCGGAAGCCCCGCTGAGTCACGGCGAGGGCGGTTATGCCCGCTGAAAAAAGCGGTTCGAGGTCCTAACGGGCAGAGAGCGGCTCTTGTCTCCCTCTCCTCTTCCTCTCCCTCTCCTTTCCCCCGGCGCCGTCACAGACCACACCGTCGGGCCCCGGCGTGGGACGCGCCCGCGGCGAGGAGCAGCCGCCGGCAGCCCGTGCCCGCCTCGCCCATGGAGGAGCCGCGGGACCCCGCGGAGCGCTGCTCCTGCCGCAACACCGACTGCCTGGAGCGGCCGCTGCGCCGGCTCTTCGAAAGGCTGGCGAGCGGCTTGGCCGCCTGCCCCTGGCCCTTCCTACTGGTGCCGGTGCTGCTGTCGGGGGTCCTGGGCGCCGGCTTTATTTTCCTGCCGCAGCGGCAGGCGAACGACATCGAGAGGCAGTTCACCCCGACGTGGGGGCCCGCCAAGGCCGAACGCGACTTCGTGCGGCGACACTTCCCGCACAACGACTCGGAGCGCTTCTCCGCCCCGCGGCTGCCCACCGAGGGCGCCTACGCCGCCCTCATCGCTGTGGCGACCAACGGGACCTCGGTCCTGGAGCCGGCGGCGTGGGCGGAGGTGCTGCAGCTGAACGCGACCGTGCACGACGCCGAGTACGAGCGGCTCTGCGCCCGCACCGCCGGCCGCTGCGCCAGCCCCAACCCGCTGCTGTCGCGGCATGCGACACCGCCCGAGCCGGGGAGACTCCGCTTCCCCGTCAACGACAGCGTCTTCCTGGGGACCGCGCTGGGCGGCGTGGAGACGGACGGCGGCCGGGTGCGGAGGGCGCGGGCTCTGAAGCTGATGTATTACCTGCGGGAGGACGGCCCCGGGGCGCAGGACAGCCGGCAGTGGCTGGAGAGCTTCCTGCAAAACATCACTTCCAAAGTGGCGGAGCTGCGCCTCGTCTCCATTCAGGTAACGCAGAGCTGGTGCCGAGGGTCGGCAGGAAGGGAAAGTAGAGGGTGGCGGGAGAAGGCGGGCGGATTGCGAGGGCAATGCTCCTCTGCCGCCGTGATGTTTGGCCTTTCCTGTGCATGTGTACTAAGACTAAAAACAAAAGTGCTTCATCGTTTCTTTCCTTGTTGTTTTAACGGCAGGTGACGTACTTTACCTCGCTGTCCAGACAACAGGAGTTTGAAGGAAATACCAAGAGTGTGATCCCACTCTTCTCCGTAACGTATTTCTTGACAATAACGTTTGCAGTCGTCTCTTGCCTAAGGTAAAATGTCTCTAAGYTATGGCTCARTGAGCAATGATCTCTGCTCTTCTTTACCYGCCTCAGYTGGTTTCTTCTCTTGAAGGYGTTCTTGAAGCTGCAGACTTCCTGTRACATTTAATAATAGGCAAAATTTATTTCATTATGTTTTATTGTCTATCTATGGAACTGCTTCAATGGGGTTCAAAATAAATACCTGATACCTGAACAAGTGTTCAGTGCAGACATGACCAGTTTGAATGCTCACCTTCTAGAGAAATTAATGGTGTCCAGTGCTGACACCTGGCATCTCTCCTAGCATCTTTTATCAGTTATTCTCTTGAGACAGGGTATTCTTGGTGTCTGTGAAATATTTGAAAGATAATWARGATATTTCTTGMAATGTTTTCAGACTGAGCTGTATAMGAAACAATATCTGGCTTGCAAGCTGTGGAGTGCTTTCTTCTGGCCTAGCTGTATTAAGCAGCTTTGGATTGATGCTSTTCTGTGGAGTGCCCTTTGTGGTCACTGTAGCAAATGCACCGTTCCTGATTCTGGGTAAGTAGAAAAAGTGAGTTGGATTCAGATGCCAAGACTAAAGTGAAGTTACAGCAACCTAATGGTGTCAGTCTTCTATGGTGTGAGCATCASATCATGCAACATTCTGTCTTGTATGAGAGAAGATACCCAGAGGTGCAGCCTCCTCAGGGCACCTACAGGTGGGTGAGCCCCTCAGCTCAGCTCATCTGTGTTCTGGCACAAGGGCAGATTTTCCCAGAACACAATGCCTGATCTAGATCCACTGTTCCTGTGGGAATA